TCCGAATATGAACCCAATTACCAAACTAATGTAATATCCTTCAATGATTAGCTTGTCTTCGTTAGTTTTTTCTTACTACTTGCCGTATCTTGATTTTCTTTCCACTAATTTTAGTTTCTTTTGAACAAGAATAACATAGAGCAAATGGGGTAAGTGACATAAACAGAGACACACGACCTCTTTGTTGATTGCTCTAGAGAATCGAGTAGGGAAAAAGTTGCAGGAGAAAAACCTTGAGTTCGAGAGCATAACTTGAGTGGTTCGGGAACTTGTTTAGAGTATGAAGAAAGTTACAGCTGAAGCCCAGAGTTGGTGATATATGGTCAAGCATAATGAGTCAATATGTGACATACTAAAAACCAATCTCCAACATGCAATGATCCCAAAAATTTACCTCGGCTTACGAGGTAGATCGGGCAAGCCTAAATCAGTTGTCCAATACAACTAAAGAAAGAGAACTCAAATACAATACAAGATTGTCCAATACAATAAAAGATGTGTCCAGTAGAACAAAGTGTGTCCAACATGAGTTCTGAGCAGCACTCAATACATTTCAGATTGAAAGAAAACAAAAATATAAAAAAAATTCAATCTCATCCAACAGATGTTAAGGGTCAAATCTATTGAACATAGATATATAAACCCCACCTTCCAAATTAAGAAGGGGCACATTCACTAAAAGTTGAGTTTGTATACATTAGCACTATGTCTCTTGAACCAACACATCACCTAGCTTTTTGTCTAGCCTGGCCATTACTCCCTTCTCCATAAACAGGTCAAATGTTTCCTACAATTAGCCAACAAAAAATATTAACAATGACAAGAACAATAAACTAAAAAATGAACTAAAAATGAAAAGATTAACGATAGTACTATTTTCTTTAGCCTTCACTTGTACTTGTAAAACCATCATTACTGTCGGTGTCCTGTAGTTGTGTATTTTCTCCTACAGTATACCTTTCAGAATCTACATCAAAGATCCTAGATTCAGCCACGTTCACTTCTTCAGCTCTAATATCAGTACGAACTAAATTTTGGCTTTCAAATTCTGAATTTATTCGAACAGGTTTCTGGGTTGATTGTTGTTGTTCCTCTTGGAATGCAAGTTCTACCCACACATTACACTCTTCATTCTCCAATATGATTCCTTGTATGTTGGGAACATTTCTTGCTTTTGTTTTCACAACCGTCCACCAATCAAGTCTATCTCTAGCCTTCGTTGGAAAACAAGTGTAATATACTTGTTGAGCTTGTTGAGAAAGTATAAACACATCATTTCTTTGTAATTTCTTCCTATGATTAAGCTCAATAAGACCGAATCGTCGATGGACTCTAACGCCACCATTGATGTCATACCAATCATACTTGAATAAGGTTACTTTGTTTCCAACATCTCCTAAATACTCCAATTCCAATATTTTAGTTAACATACCATAGTAGTCACGTTCATAGTCATTATGACTACTTCCTAATATTGACACTCCACTATTCATTGTTGTTTTGTGGGAACCATAATATAAAGTGTGAAACTTAAAACCATTTAAAAATATCCATTATAACAATTCACTCTACGAGTATCAATTTCATTATGATCATTCAAAACCTAAACAAAAAGAAACAATATATATTACAACTCATTTTACAAAATACATTTCCGGGTTAATTGAGACAATACTTACAACACTTACATATTCCTTTAACCAACATGAAAAACGTTCTTCCTGTAAACCATCAAATTGTGCATCAGACATTTGGGAATGCAACATTCTCATTTATTTATCAAACATCCTACATGTGCCATGATATAATAAATGTAATTATAACAACTTACGCGATAAAAGGAGTTACTTCCTCACAATTGAAGAGAACATACGTTGACGATGCTCTGAATTCCTCATTCGTCATTAATCTGCTATTATGACGTTGAATGTCAAAGGGTCATCCAGGGTGGGTAAAAATTGATAGTCTCCATTGGGAATCAATATGACCTCCATCATCATTCCTCAACACACGATTCAATCTTGTTTGAATATTTTGATCAAAATATAGAGAGCAAAAAGTTGACATTTCCTCTACTAAGTATGGCTCTACGATAGATGCCTCAACATGAGCCCGATTTTTAACTTTCTTTTTTTAGTGGTGCAGGAACCTGTGATATACAAAATGAATATCATTTAGACTACAAAAGGTAAATTAAATATACAAGCATGTGTTCCCTCTCAAAAGGATACATCCAACGGTACTACACAAGACCTCCAACCTTTGCTTCATAAGCTAAATGAACATGTAAATGCTTCATTGAATAAAAAAAACTGGTGGAAAAATCTTTTCAAACTTGCATAATGTCACAACAATGTTTTTTTCCAATTCCTCCAAATCTTTCACCCTCAAAATTAGGACTGTAAGCAAAAATCGCAAAATCGGAAAATCAAATCGAAACCGCATTTTAGAAGCCGTCGGTTTGGTGCCACATGGATCCGGTAAACGAAATGGTTTTTACCCAAACCAAACCGGTCAAAATGGTTTGGTTTAGGTTTGAGAATTTTAATTGCGGTTTAAAACCAAATCGGACAGGCGAAAAAATATATAAAAATTAAAAATAAAAAAATGAAATTTTTTGAAAATTCATCCAAATTTGTAAAATTCAATACTTTTGTCATTTGTGGGTATTTTTGTCAATTTCTAATTTTCTAATACAGATATATTATTATTATTATTATTATTATCCAATAATTCTAATATATATCTAATAATTTCAAGACTAACATAATCTATCAAAAGCATTTTTCCTCTTCAGAATTTTGATGAACTCCAGTCGACGCCCATCATAGTTTTGAGTCATCGGCACCAAACACTTTTTTTTTCCAGATTTTTCATGTCTCTTCAAAGATGAATTGAAGTTCATTATACCAAATCGGAGACAAAGAGATCCTAAACCTTCGATGATAATATTTGCTACGAATAAAATTTCAGATCAATAATTTTTTTTGAGCAAACTAAGATAAGAATTTGAAAATAAATGCGTTTCGTAATATCATACAAACATAAACTTGTGTAATTGTTATATTTAAATATTATAAACAATTACTTTATTGTTGTGGTTGGTTATTCTTTTTGTTTAATCAGTATCATTTTTTTTAAATACGATGATCACGAGATCTTGTTGGACATCATTATATTTTTTGGGCCTTATATCTAGTTTAGTAGACTTGTATTGTAACGTTCTTGTATCGTCATTAGTCTAAAAAAGGTGAACAAAAAAAACTATGTTTTAGTTTACTGTGATTTCACTTTAATTTAGTTAGTATTTAAATTTATAGTAGATATATTTAGCCCCTG